TATCAATACCCGTTTAAAGTCATCATTTCGTAATTTCTATGGTCAATATTACTGTAGCCCTTTTAGGACCTATCGAAAAATATTATTGAATCCGATATAAGGAATGGTCGAATTTGTTATAACGAATTTAATTCGTTATAACAATTTCTAAGAATTAGTTATTGTGATTTTAATCTGTTATTACAAATTTGTTGAATTCATTATAACGAATTCTTTAATTTGTTATATTACGAATCAAATTCGTTAAAAAGAATTCAAAACTTGTTATAACAAATTAAATTCGTTCAAACAAATTCTTAAATTTGTTTTAACAGATTAAATTCGTTAAAACAAATTCCAAGGTTTGTTATAACGAATTAACCAATAATCAGGATCTATAGATAAATATATATGAATTCGATATAACGATTTGTCGATTTCGTTTTAACGAATTTAATTCGTTATAACAAATTACGGAATTCGTTTAATTGAGTTCAATTGGTAATAATAAGTTTTAGAATCTGTTAAAACGAGTTTAATTCGTATTAACAAATTTTTGAATTCGTTATAACGAAATCAACAAATTTGTTATAACAGACTGAATTCATTATAACGAATTCAAAGAAATTATTATAACAAATTAAATTTGTTATAACAAATTCGACAATTCGTTATATCGGATTCAAAGATATTTTTCGATAGGTCCTAAATGGGCTTCCGTACGATACAATGACCTTGTCAGTAAAAACAATTTATCAAAGTCAAATTCTGACTGACGTTTTTCATAATAATTATTATTCCATTATTTATGCACTGAATTGACGACGGATTTTTTCAATTATTTCCCGATCGGGTGTGACAGGTTGGCAGGGGACGTTGGCACCTGGTCCAACCTCTGATGTTTCTGAGGTACTTGTTTGCTCTGCTTCTATTTTTGATTTTAAATACTGATCGTTATTTTCATGGTTCTTACCTACTCATTGACTCACCACAAAAATGAACATAACAGAACTCATATCTTAGTTGTGAGTTTGTCGTGTAACACCAAGGGCGATTTTCGTACATGGTTCTGCAGAAATTCTCCTCGGTGCCAGGCCAGTAATGAAAGTAATGTTGATGTGGGTATTGCTGGTCCCATCTCTGACATTGTTTTCCTGAGATTGTTGTATTCACTGATCCTCTGTATGGAATTCCAAACTCAAAACAGTCTGTAAATTAATGGAGAAAGAATCATAGCAATCTGGAGTACTATAATTTAAAGTTAGGTGAAATTCAAAAACTTTAAACTTAAAAGATGCGTACCCTTAGCTTGATAACATTTGCAACAAATGGCGAAGTAGTAATTGTGTTTGTACGTAAATCAAGAAAAAAAATCAGAACTTTAATATCCTTATATTTTTGAAAATCATATATATTTGTAAACACGATAATCACCTTCATTTGTGCCGTAAACATAAGTTAATGTTCCAGTGATAAAAACAAGGATCCGTGAAGCCATGATATATGAGAAGTTTAAGGAAACGTACACAGATGTATAAGTCCTTGAATTAAATCCCTATATCCGCACATACTCCACAGGAACCATACAAATCTGATGTACAGATAACAGATGCATACAAGGGTTTGAAAAGGAAACCTCGGAATCCGAATTCCATCTTGGGAACAATCTACGATCAGCACTAGTAAAAAAAAACACTTTCTCTTTAAAAAGAAGCTTTTACTACATTTCTATATTATTTAGTGCTGGTCGTTTTATTATAAAAATATATATGAAATTACTCGTTTTTGTTTTAATGGTGATAATATCTCCCGATTAACCGTTCACTTTAAAAGAAATATTGTTCTTACGATTCGAATTTTGACGATTTGCGAAAATAAACTAGAGGTACTGTGAGCGATGAGCTCATTGAATGATACCCCCCGCCTCCATATAGTTATACTTGCAAAGTCCATGTTTTGCTGTAGCTGGGAAACCCAAAATATGTGTCGGATCAAAAAGTAAAATAGGAGGTGCACAATGGCAATATGTAATAAAGATTCTGTGAAAGTTTCATCGAATTTCATTCAGTGGTATGAGAGGAGTTGCGGATAAGAGATGGGTACCCCAAAGCCTAATAGACGGACGGACGAACAGACAGACAGACGTACAGACGGACGGAATTAACGATTACTATATACCCTCCCGCTTTTCAAGCGGGGGTATAAAAAAGCTACAGTAAATTGGCATTTCAAAATGTCAAAATAAGAGAATTTGAGAAGAGTGTAAGAACGTTGACAATTTAAAACTACTAAAACTAGAGGTACTGTGAGCAATGAGCTCACTAAATGATACCCCCGACTCCCATATGAATAAAATAGCAGTGTCCATGTTTTGCTCTGGAAAATCCAAAATATAAGTCAGATCAAAAAGTAAAGTAGGAGGTGCACAATGGCAATATGTAATAAAAATTCTGTGAACGTTTCATTAAATTTCCTTCAGTGGTATGAGAGGAGTTGCGGATAAGAGATGGGTACGCAAAAGCGTAACAGACGGACGGACGGACGGACGGAAATTCCGATTATTATATACCCTCCCGCTTTTCAAGCGGGGGTATAAAAACATTCTAGCAGCTAAGAGTATTGACCTGTTCGCTTAATTTTCTATTTGGAAATTAAAACCTTGGAAAGAAATAATTATCGTAGCTAGGGCTTGGCAATAAGGATTATTTGTTTTTTTTTATTCAATGAGTTAGCAATTGCTAGAATGCAAACCATATTAAAGGCTTATATCATCATTTTTTTTTAATAAAGAACCTCCTCCTTTGACAATTCCGGTGATAAAACTCCACTGCTTTTCCCGGATTTGGTTTGATCATTATAAACAACGATAAGATTCAAGCGACAAGTTTTTTTTTCAGGAATATCTATTCCTCTTTCAAACTTTTAATATTCCTTTTCAAAGTATAAGTTATTTTAGAATTCCCTATTGTTCGTGGTCGGTTATGACCCCTCCATGATATTGCTAGTGTCTTCTGTCCCCAAACCTTGACAATTGCACATACGAAACATGTTGGATAAAATGAAAACATTATTCAGGCTTAATGTCTATTGGAGAAATAAAAATTGAGAGATGAGCGAACAATGTACCTCTCCAAGCATATACAATCAGCTGCCATGAGGGGTTAAGTATTCCGTGTCATTTCAAGTCATGGGCAATTTTTTTATCATATCATTTATGTTCTCCTTGTTTTTTTTCCCAAATTATTCCAAATAAATCCACTTAATTGGCCGGATTATTTTTAAGCAAAGTAAATCAATGTAATAAAATCTTATTTCAGACAAAGCAAAATATTCAAAAACTGTCCTTCATTACCCAATGCGGTATGTGCGGTATGTAAGCCTATAAAATTTCAAGAATTTGTCATCATACAAATGAGAAAACACAAACAGCAATATATCTTTTTTAATCTATAAACAATATAAACATGTAAACAGATAATAAAGCACTGTTATCTGTACAATCCAGAAGTGGGATCAGGTGCAAAGGACCAGTTTTGAGCCCTATATATTGATCAGGAAGACAGAACATTCGACAAAGTCAAATAAGGCGAGTTCTCTAACATTGTTGGCTGTTCAATAATACCTCAATTAGCATCGATGTATCAATGTTAGTGCATATGTTATGCTGCTTACTTAGAAAAAGTATTCCAGAGGGTTTTACGCACCTTGCACTGTGATATGGCTAATGTTAATGTTAATAAAATTTTTAAGGTTCTTTATTACTCGCTGTTAATTGCATTATTTCGATTGATCAAACTTATCTAATAACCTTAAGCTTTGTCGGCATTTATCATATCCTTGAGATAATCTTGTTTTTTTCCCTTTCAAATATGATATTAAAATAACCTTTAAATATATATGTGTCATATATATACATTTTTATTTGAAATATTATCTCCATGTTATAGATAGAGATTGATGGTGCTTCGGTTTTGTTTTCAATATCTTTGTCCACAGTGATAAGTAAACACTAAAAATGAACAAACACAAAATACTCTTGAGATAGGCAAACGACTGAAAGAGACCTATTTATCTTAGGATTGTAAAGTGGGTTTCGGTGAAGGGGTTAAATAACTACAAGGAACCTCAGTCTATGTGGTCTCATCAGAAGGATCTGTTCTCTGTGTCACAGAGTGGAGTCGAACCCATGACATAAGGTTCCATTCTTACCGCGTGCTTCTAGGGTAAACGTTCTAATAACTGCTCCACGTAGATGAAATCGTATGAGGAAATACCAATAAAAATTCAAATATCAATAACACTAGGATAAAAAATACAGACAGGGTTTCCTTTAACACTTTTATGTTTTTTAAGTTGTTGTACAAACATGAGGAAGGAAGGAACCGTTCGTTATTTTTATAAATAGCAGATCATAGATAAATACAAATATAGAAAAAAAGTCTATATACCTCCTTCTCGCTTAGATGAAGCACAGAAACAAAACTACATGGCTAGGAGTAATAACTGCCAAGTTAAAATAAGGAAAAATTATCATATTGTCTTATTAGTGAAACATTCTCCTGTAGATGCTCCCCCTCTCTCTATTATATAATTAAAACAATATATCAGTTCATTAATAATAAAGCTATGACTAAGGTATTGCTAGAGTATTTATTCCCTTTGTCTCTGAATGCGATCATAAAATTGAAATCCCCTGTCATTGTAGATGGAACCGGTTATAAAATGATTACAGTCATAATTAATGCCTGGTCTAGGTGGATATTTGATTTTTTTTTTAAAATAACATGCCAAACAACTACTCTTTAGAAATATGGAAGATTGGATCAGATAAACAGAAAAAGTAAGCATCCTCTTTGAACGAATATTTGCAAAAAAGAAATTGAATTGCCTAAGCAATTGATAGGGAAAGTGTCAGTAAACATTCGATTCTAGTATTCGCTTATAAATAAACGATGACATTATAAGGAGCGTAGGAATTGGTGAAATGCTCACTTTCTTTAAGTTTATCATATCCAAAGCAATCAAATAAAAATAAAAAAGGTGAAAAATCAATTAATCTAGAATTATGCTCAAGATTATGCTCAGTCTGTAGAAATTGCACATTTTTTTAACATGTTAAATGATAAATTGTCTCAATGTTTTGGCTTGAACATATAATACAAAGAGTATGCACTGATACCCGAGTAAAACCTATAGAATAACATCAACGGAACAAGTATATTTTGTATATACAGCCAGCTTTCCCATCCAACGAGCCCGGGCTCTAATTCTTTGTGAAATCTTTGCTGGTTATAAGAATTTAGAAACCAGTGAATAAGATTGGTCGACATCAGAATAATTCCGCCAGAGGAAATAAGATTTGAAGATTTTCCCTTCGTGGGATAGCGCCTGACTTTGATTAAAAGGTGTGTTTGCAGAAAAGTATCAATCAGAAAAAATAAACGACTGCAAAGAAACATTTTTAGCGGAGTGGAGTGATTTGAAAAAGCGGTCACTAATCCAAACATGTAGTAAGTCACCATACCAGAGGAAGTTAGAATTAGGATATATTCATTGGTGGTCAATTTTGATTGTCTAGTAGAGTAGCTGAAGTTTTTGTTTAGATGATAACTACATATATAAACAGTTAGAATACCGCTAAACGTGCTCACACACTCGCCAATTTGGAGTAGGAGAATAAGACCATCACTATTCCAGTTGTATGCAAACACGAGCAATACAGTTGCAAAAAGTATTGGTAAATTGATGAAAACTCCACATAATGCTACACAAATATTTCGTCCCATTTGATGCAGTTTTCTTTCGTGAAGATCTAATGTATAATTTATGGTTTCTTTTAAATTTTGATTTCTTTGACTATTAGAGTCATTCGTTGCACTGTCAAATGGCAAACCCAAAAATGAAATAATAAAACTTGAGCCAAGGATACAAAACTCCATTCTCATTGGTAATAAGATAGGTGATAATTGCTCTGCTAATCCATGTTGTATGTTGGATGTTCGGAAACAATAAGACTCATTGCTATATCTAGGGACAGTGTTGTTTGCAAGTTGAAATACAGAAATATTGCTAATAACTATATTGAACCAGATGACGAAGTTTGCCACAAGAATAAAAATACTTGAAATGTTCACGAGGAAGTTTTTTATAATCGTTTTGCTTTGGTAATATGATATAAAACTCAACTCAATCAAAAGAAAAAGTAGTAGAATCACATTACTCATCATTGAAAGAATCATTTCAGCTGTTCTTAAGGAAAACAAAACGATGCATTCTATATAAATAGCAGCATAGATGGAAACATGTACCATAACTGCTAGTCCAAATATCCAGAGGAAAATTATTCTGAGTTTCAGAGATGGATCGGCAAGTTTGTGTTGGATGTGTCCTTCGGTGGTGAGTCTTCTTCTGCAACCAGACACGATGAGAATAATCAGAGATATCAATCCAAGAGAAACAGATATCATCATTGCGACCCACGCTCTTGTTTTAGCTTTGTCTGAATACGCCTGTTCCACTGCATTGATTCCAATGATGACAAAAACACCAGACACGAGGTGTGAGAACAATAAGATACTGGTAGTCTTTCCACCATTGGATCCTGGTCGCCCTGAGAATGGACAAAGCGGTTGTATGATAATTCTATAGAGCTTTTTCAAGAGCAATAAAACAGCCATCAATCTTCATAAACTGTCACCAATCTAATACACATAGACTGCAAAATTATCAGGAAGTGTTTTGCAGATAGCAATTGAAAGTGGTCAAGAACCGGTAACTATTCAGAAAAAGGAAACATTTAGGCAATTAGATGGCACTTAGCGAGTCTTTATCTTCCCCAAAGCTTTCAAATAAAATTTATTTGAGTGCATAATTCTTTTCTAAAATTTGAAATGGCATAAGAGTATATTTGCTGAGAATCAAACATTGCTAAAACGAAATACCTCTATTAAGGAAGAATGATACAAACAAAAATATCGATGCCTGGATTGGTATATATTTTTTGGCCTAATTTCATTGAAAATGATGCAAATAATAAATTACTAGAATATTCAGAAATTGTAAACCTTCTATTGTGTTCAAAGTTCTGTCTCTCTGAAACCATCCTTATTAATCTATGCAAATATTTTTAACTTCAAGTCTCATTTTCGTGAAAATTTGAGTAAATTGAGTAAAGAACTATGTGCGGTATATTGCATATATTTGCCCCCACAAGTCAGATTTTGAAAACTTCCTAAAATGTGCTGAATTCAATATTAAATTGTATGAGAAATATAAATTAACAGAAAATATTATAGTGTCAAAGCAATGTATTCACAATTTTTGTTTTATGACGTCACAAACTAGTTCGATTTTATATTCTTTTTCAGAAAGAGGACAAAATGGACAAAATTTCAACAATTTTAGCTTTAAAATTTATAGAGCGCAAGTTTGTTCAGGAACAATATTGACATATGTCATTGATATTATCATTCTACACATTATATCAAAATATTGATCCTGAACACACATGCGCTCGGTGACTTTTACTCAAAATATCGACGAAATATGTACATTTTTCTGTAAAATTCATAAAAAAACTGAAATTTACGTCATGTTTGTGACGTCATTACGTACATATGGCGTCATTACTTATGAAAATAATCAGTGCTTTGAAGTCAGCATATACTCCCCTGTTTAAGAACTTAATTTAATATATCTCCATCAAAGTTTGACCTTTGACCCCTTGATATGACCTTGACCTTTGTAGTACATAAAGAATGGAGACTCCTTATATATGTGTCCAAATATTACCCCTCTATTATTTATGGAGCAAAAGTTTCACTGCATTTTATAACAGACTGTTACATTCTTGTTTATTGCACTTAGATAGCGTAAACACATTCCAAAATGTAAGCTCCCAAGTGACCAATATATAGGTTTCTCTGATTTTTTCACAAAATATAACGCAAATATGCCAGAATTTATTATTTTCTTTCAGGAATCATTCATAGTTGTCAATATAGTAATATTATTCTTTTTTCCTCCAGTACTTTTTAGGAAATGGGTTAAAATAGAATCCACGGGTGTTTTGTCCTACCTTGATAAGTTCTTTAAAATGACACCATTGTCAATGACCTTGAGATCTTGACTGTGACCTATTTACTAAATATAGTTTTTTGTCGTCAAACTTTAACTTTCTACATAACATTTGAACGAAGAAAGATAGAGCCTTAATATTCCGCATACATACTCCACAGAATGAGCCCTTCCACATGACGCAATGGACAATGACCTTGTTACCTTGACTGTGTCATATATGCAAAAAATAGCATTTTGGACTGTGACCTTTATGCTAAAACTATTTTTCTTTAACCTTGTTGCCTCCGGGCGGATAGTGTTTCACAAACACATCTTGTTTTGAAGAATAATTAATAGGTGATTAAGACATTTCACTGTAACATTCAATGTTTTGCCTTTCACCAATTTGTCAGAGTTCGCGTGGGTACCAGTTGCGCCCGTTTTTAGTAGGCCAACTTTTGTATTCATATGAAGCAGAATATACTCAAAGTCTTACACTAAAGAAGAAGAGAACACTTGCTGTGACACCTCAACATTTTGGCATATCAAGGACTCATTTCAAATTCACAATTGCTCTTTTCATTCATACGGCGTCAGTGAGCTTTAGAAAAAAATATACCACAGAGTCTGACTCATCTGTTTCATATTTAAAATTTCCTAGAAATAAAATTAAAAACGTTATTGGTAACCTTTCAACGAAACTTAATGATGAAGGAGTTGACTTGTCAATGTAACAAAGTTCACTTACTATACAGCAACATATCCTTATCACCTGCAAAGGAGTTTACATATATCTCAGTTGATTAGAAGCTTAAGAGAAGAAAGTTTTTTCTAATTCTAAGGTCATTACTGTAAATCACTTTTTTTTTGCGTAATCACGCTAGACGGTATGCTCGCGAAAATTTCATTCCCGCGTATAAGAGAATTCCTTACGGTTACATAGAACAATGACCACAATTCATGAAAATTTTGTCTCGCTAATCAAGAGTCAATGACTATCTCGCGAAAATAAGGTGTCGCGAAGATTAAGGGATCTACAGTATTTACACACTGAAATGGTTCGGATTTTACCATTTTACTTTCCGGGCATGCAGGGAGCATACGACGGATCTGACCAGTAGGTAGATTTCTCAGTCCTCTATTGCACCAGATCCCACTTCTGATTAATGTATACCCTACTATTAATCTATTAGAATAAAATGGAAGATATTGTCTTACTTTTGTCGATATTTGCTTTGGAATGACTGTTTTTCTCCTTTAAATTTGTCTTTCGGATTTTAGATATTCCAGATTCATCAGATAGAGATGCATCAGATCCTTTAATTTCTATATCCTTAGTTTTCATTTTTTCATTTTGAAATGTTTGAACATTAATTTCATTTTCTGATATGTGCTTTCTTAAATATGAAATGATTTTTTCCTGCTCATCAAGTCTTGCTTCAAGATTATGAATATGTTGAATATCGTTTTTCTGAAGCTTGGATAATTCACGAACAGTTCTTTCTAAAGTCAGAATACGATCATCACAAGTTTTAAGTTTTGAATCGTACGTGTCTTTCTCTGGTGTGTGTAATTCAGTTTCTTGAATACGTGGTTTATTATCTGTTTTACTGAAGTCTGGATGTGGAATATCTGTTTTTTCCTCCACTCTCATTGACTGAAATTCTCTATGCACTGAATTCATCTGTTCTTTTCCAATAGTCCTCTCTAACAGGGCGACCCTATTCGAGTGGAGTTCATCAGTGTATTCAAAAGCAAAACAGATTTGCTGATAGAACAGAAGACTTGGTAAAATCAACATTTCCAGATCTTCCCTACGACTGATAAAAGGTATGAAATGTCTTATAATTTATAGGTTACTCTTATCTTAAGCTTGTTTACCTTAACCTTTGCACTTTGCAGCACGTCTTTAACCCATATCTTATAACTGACAACTTGCTGTCTATTCTAATAAATAAACAAGTAATGACCTTATCATTTCAAGTCCTTATAAACGTAGAAAAACGTCCTTGTCAGCAAATACAATTTATCATTGAGTCAAATGTTAACTGAAGTTTTTCATTCTTATTGTTAGGCCAATTTTTATACACTGAATTGACGACGGGTTTTTCCATTATTTCCCGATCAGGACAAGGAGCAAACGGCAGGTGTGACAGTTTAGCAATGGATGCTCACTTATTCATGTCACTTGATCCAACATCTTATACTCTGGAGGTCCATGTTTGCTCTGGTCCTATTTTGCCTTGTTTTATGGACTGCTGACCTGGAATACTGTTCGTTATCTCCGTATTTTTTATGCCAACCTTATTTGGTGTTAACAAACTTAGATTATAATAATTGAACCGTTTTTCCGTCCCTGCTGAAAAAGTAGATTGATTGATTGATTGTATATTGTTTAACGTCCCTCTTGAGAATTTTTCACTCATATGGAGACGTCACCGCATGCCGGTGAAGGGCTTCAAATCTAGACCTATACTCGGCACTCAGGGCCATTGAGCAGTGAGAGTTCTTTATCGTGCCAGCGCCTACCGTGACACGGGACCTACGTTTTAAAGGTCATATCCGAAAGACCCGTGACTTTCACTTCTAGTGCCGAGCGCTTGGCGAAGGAACAGTCACTACCTTTGTTTACGTCTTAGGTATGACGCGGCGCCGCGATCGAGAATCCAACCCGGGCCTCCCGATCACGAAGCGAACGCTCTACCACTAGGCTACCATGACCGGTCTGAAAAAGTAGATCTAAGTGGTGGAGAATGCAGAGAATACTAGTTTATTTTTTTTATGCAAACAAAGGCCTATTTTCATTATTAAAATAGTTTTTTTTTCTTCAAAAATTCAAGATCGTATGATTAAACAAGTAAAAAATATTTTAATGTGCTTATCTGTTTAATGCTTATCCTCTAAGAATTCAATGTTCACTAACTATAATTGATTTCTTATTTTCCTAAAAATCCCCACAAACAAATCTATATCTATATTGGACAATGGTTTATCAAGCCCTTATCTTTAACAAAAATAGTAACTGTTGTAAAGGTGAAACACAAGGAGAACTATCTGCTATCATCATTGAATCGTCCAAAGAATTTACAAAATGACTACTTTAAACGAGACTGCTAATATTCTTTCTTTCATCAACTTATTATAAACTTATATCAAATTATAACCTTTTTAATTTCCCTATAAGAAGAAAAGCACGTCGCTACCATAAGCAAATAGTGTCTATTTTCTGTTTAAATTTTCTATTTGGCAAATTATCCTTTGGTGTAAAAAGAGACATAAACAAATTTTAAAATAGTATAAAATGAAAGACTTATTTCGATTTTGCAATGTTTGATTCTTGGCAAAAAAAAAAATTCTTATATAAAGAGATATTTTGTATCTAAGAACAAAATATCAAAGTTTCAGAAAAATTGAATTTGAGGAAAAATTTGACCTATCTATTTGGTCCTACCTTAAGTTGTGTATGCATACGAAATACGAAGTCTCTATCTTTAATGGCTCTAAAGTTATAGCGAAGGTTAAAGTTTTTAGAAAAGAAATATTTTTAGTATATAGGTCACAGTCAAGATCACAAGGTCATTGACCTAGATGTCATTTGAAAAAAACTTAATTAGTAAAGTTTGCATACCAAATATGAAGTCTCAACTATTCATGGTTCAAAATTAATGGCGAAGGTTAAAGTTTGCAGACAAACAGACAATCAGACAGACAGACAGGCTAGAAACAATATACGTGCCGAATATTTCGATCCGGGCGCATAAAAACACTATGCGCCCGGCAGCAAGAAAGTTCAAAAAATATTTTTAGCAGATAAATCACAGTCAGGGTCATAAGGTCATTGACCTTGATGTCATTTGGAAGAGCTTAATTAGTGAAGTAAGCATACCAAATATGAAGTCTCTATCTCTTATGGTTCAAAAGTTATGGTGAAAGTTCTAAAAAGCTATTTTTAGAATATAAGTCACAGTCAAGGTCAGGATTTCCTTTGGAAGAGCTTTATTGGTGGAGTATGCATACCAAATATGAAGTCTCTATCTCGCAGGGTTCACAAGTTATGGCGAAGGTTAAAGTTGACAAGAGACAGGCAGACAAACAGACAAACAAATAAACAGACAAACAGACAAACAGACAGGACAAAACAATATACACCTCGGATCTATCGATCCGGACGCATAAAAACATCTTTAGAATTTCAAGCTGATATCATAATGTTACTTTGTTTTCAGAAATAATTTTAAAAATATTTCTTTATTTTCTATATTTACTTTGTTTTCAGAAATAATATTAAAAATATTTCTTTATTTCCCATATACTTCATTTTATTTTCATTTTTTTCATTTCACAAGCAAAGTCATAACCAAACATTGCTCATAAAAATAAGTTAATTTTTTTGCTTTAAAACATTACGAAAACACATATCGTGAAAAACTTTTCTTTTTTTTCAACACTATAAGGAAGTGATCTGTTAAAGCTGATGTATCGAGTTCCGACAAAATTAATCATACAACAGCCCCTGCGATAAATATTAAGTTCCAATAAATTTATTATTTATACATCCTTAAAGCAATTTGTTTTGCTTCAGAAGTTCATTTTTGGAGGTTTTAGTTTTAAGATTACAATCAAATTTATTGTTTAATTATTTCAGAGCGATTGCTTTCCCCTGTAACAACAACCCATATCCTTCTCACATGAGTTATCCTATTGCCTTCTATGCCTATATGTCGAAAAACACACCAACAATAACTATACAGCATCCCTTGTCGTTTGATGTCGTGAAAACCAACTTTGGAAATGGCTATCATTCCACCACCGGAGTATTTATAGTGCCTGAAAGCGGGGTTTATGTGTTTTCGTGGACGATCAGACTTAATAGTGGTAGTTATCACTCAACACAGTTGATGGTGAATACGGATGAACTTGGAATAGTTCATGTCAGTGTTTCCACGGGTTCATACGTTGGAACAGGGGTTGTTGTGGCGCACGTCAATAAAGGAGATGACGTCTATGTCAGGACACCTTCTTCATGGAATAATGGAAATATCATTAGTGACCACGTAGGAAGGTCGTCATTTGCAGGATGGAAACTATTTTAAGAATTGGATTAAATATCTTTAGAAAATGAAAAGGTCAATATAATTAAAAGTGATTTTCAGACTTTATTTATAAATTGATTTTTAATGTATTATACTAATAAAGAAGTTGTGGGTTTTAAGTTCCATTTGTTTTTTTTATCTAATGCATAGTAATGGTGAGTAATGACGTTGCTTCCAAAATTAATATTCATGGTTCCTTAGCCAGATAATCTGTTGTTAAAGTGGAATTTATTATAAAGTGAAAATGCATCAATGGTTTTAAAATCTACTTTGCTCCTTGGCGTCTAGCAGGCAAAACTCTTTTTAATGTCAACTTTAGAGTGTTTGTGTGTACAATTAGAATGAATTTTAACAAAATAATTTTCCAAATTACCAATGACAAGTTAAGTAAATTGACGATTTCCATTTTTATTGAATAAGCAGCCGTCAATGATGTAAAAACAGACTGGATTTATCATTTACTTTGAATCAGATGGCGAAATTTCACAGTACAGTTAAAATGTGCAATGGAAATATCGACAATTTTTTTTAATCAAAAATGTCTTTTTAATCGAGATCTCGATAGCAATTATTTTTTAGTACATCATTTACATCGGATAACTGTAATTATGGTTAATAACTACATATTTAATTTATATTTAGACTTGTCACGTGAAGCCGCAGTCACGTGATTTTTGCATATTTACTTGCAGCATTTAGTCATCAAAAAAAATTTTCACTAAATAATGTAGCACAAGAGCATAGCCAAGTAAAAATTCTTAGTTTAGTTTATAAATGTTTTTTTTACATACATTGCATTTTCTGAAAGTGTTGCAATTCTATTTAAATTCTGCAATCACATTGAAAAGAACATATTTGTGTGACCAAATGCTGTATTGTTTCTTTGTCAACGGCATGAAATAATGTTATAAAATCATTTTGAAGATTTCATGAGGATCGCAAAAGTTTTCAAATGCCTTAATACTTCAAGAGATCTAAATTTTGTCATCTGGTTCAAAGTAGATATTATTAAAACATCCAGCCATTTCAAACATTTATTTTGTTGAAAGGATATAATACCAACGTCTAATCTAAAGAATTTCAGGGAGGGATCACCTTGTTTGTTTCAGAAATTCCCTTCGGGGTTTAGCTTTTTCTTCAACCAGACACTATGAAAACTTAAAAAATGATAACTTCAACGAAATTGGTGCCGGTTGAGAGCTCAAAATTGTGTCCTATACTTGACACACAGGGTCATGGAGCAGTGAGGGATCTTTTTCGTTCAAGCTCCTACTGCGGAACGGGACCACGGTTTATATGGTCTAATTCGAATGACCGGTCTCCACGTCCCACAATGGGATTCAAACCCACGACGTTGGGTTTAACTCCTTTCTTTGCGACTCTAGAGCAGTCGCTCTAACCACTTCGCCACGCGGGCGACAACATAAGAAGAAGAAGAAAACACTTGCTGTTGCATCCAACTCGACATTAAAGGTAACGAGGATATAATGTCAATTCACAATAGTTACATATACCAGTATCCATATATCGACACAATATGTCTAATGAGCTTGAAATAAAAGATTACACAAAGTTTAACAATCCATTATATATCTGGCTACTCACAGTATTTTAAGAAAAAAACATTAATATTAATTTAACAACAAAGATTAATGAAAAATGTGATGACATTAACTTTTCAATGTCTGATTTATAGTGAACCCATCAA